ACATCTTCACCACTGGGAGCTGAGGTTCCGCAGGATAGGAGTGCTGCTGTCTCCCCCAGGGATGTCACACACACAGCGGTGAGGCTCTTGGCTGAGCCTGCTCCCAGCCTGGCTGATGCTCGGCCCATCATCATCCACTCCGCAGACCGGGACCAGGGAGGGGAGGCTGGGTGAGCACAGGCGCGAAGGCCGGTGGCCTCCTGAGTATATACATTCTCAGGCTCACTCATTCTCACGGTTCCTGCCCCTGGAGCCCTCCTGGAGCTTTAACCCCAGCAGCACAGGAGTGTTAACACTGTGACCACAACACGGATGAAGAGTGATGGGGTGGGATGATAAAGGAAGGCCTGCTGGAGGAGGTAACACCTGCTGATGAGGGAGCCACAGCCACTGGGAACAGCATTTTGCCAGGCAGAGGCCCTGGTTGGACCCTGGCACTTGCAAGTGCTTGACCAGGCCAGGGCTTGGTGTGGCCAGAGTGAAGGACAAGAAAAGAGAAATGGATACAGGGAAGGGGAGCTGAACTCATCCTGAAGTATAATGGAAGGTTTCCAAATATACCAAGTATACCATGTGTAGTGTCGGCTCCTGGGGGGTCCAGGAGGAACAGGGCGCAATGTGCATCCTATGCAAGGGGGCATCGGTGTGACTGGCAAGGTCCAGCCGGGTGCCTGGAGGACAAGCCACAGAGGTCCCACGGGAACCAGGAGCACAGAGGAGGAACCAGAATGCAAAGAGGTCAGGCAGGAAACAAGAATGAGGAAGAGACCGGACAGGGACAGCTAATGGTGCTCCTGTGGCCTCTAAATCAACTCCGGCTCTGGTCCCCCGGGGCTGTGCGTCCCCTGTCCCTCGTCTGGCAGTGATTTCCTGCCCAGAGCTAACCGACAGAGCCACATGGCTGCTGGGGTAAGGAGACGGGGTGGAGCTTATGGAACTCCTCATGGGGGCGCTCAAAGGATCAAGGAGGCCCCCTGAAGCCATGTCAGCTGCCGGCTTTGCCTGCCTGCTCCCTCAGCCCCCAAACTCTGGGACAGGTCATGGAGTGAAAAGTGAAACTTGATACTAAGAGACAATGCTGGAGACAGGAGAAAGAACCATGTGTGAGAGCAGGTAAGACCTTAGTCAACCCCCAGCTTAGGAATTGAAATACACACAGAACGCGCACCGCCCCGGAGCCAGGAGCCAGGAGCCAGCAGCATCGTTTGGCCCACCACACAGGAAATCTCCTTTTCTTTCTTTGTTTAAAATCTTAACACACAGAGCAAGACCCAGACTCGGCTAACAGAACCAGCTTTCCAGTTAAAATGTGTGCGTGGTGGGGAGCAGGTGGAGGGCAACATTGGTGCAGCAACAAAGCACACTGCCTGCCTGCAGCACAGCCATCCACACGGACATAAGTTCAAGTCCTGGCTGCCTCACTTCCGCTCCAGTTCCCTGCTTATGACCTGGGAGAGCAGTGGAAGATGACTCCAGTCCTTGGGCCCCTGAACTCTCTTTTTTATTTTTAAAGAATTATTTATTTTTATTGTGAAGTCAGATATACAGAGAGGAGGAGTGACAGAGAGGAAGATCTTCCATCCAGTGATTCACTCCCTAAATGGCAGGGAGCTGGATGGGAAACAGGGCCGCCAGGATTAGAACCGGCGCCTCTATGGGATCCCAGTGCATGCAAGGCAAGGACTTTTGCTGCTGAGCTACTGCACTGGGCCCAGGCCCCTGAACTCTTGACAGAGACCCAGAAGAAGTTCCAGACTCCAGCTTTGGATTGGTTTGGCTCTGGCTCTTGCAGCCACCGGTGGGGAGTAAACCGGTGGATGGGAGATTACCTCTGTCTCCTTCTCTCTCCGTAAAACCTGCAAGAACTCAACCCCTAAGCCAAATGTTCATCCCTCCCTAAAGCTCCTGGTAGGGCAGCGTTGAGCTCAGCAGTGTTCACAGCAGGGAACTAAAGGACAGAGTCACATATAACAATAACATGAGACAGGCTGGCGGTACACCTGCAAGCTGACTCCTCCCAAGGCCAGGAGAAGCTCCAGAGAAGTGCAACGACAAGACTGTCACAGTGACACGCAAGAAAGATAAACCAGGAGCCGCACTCTGCTGGTGCAAAGGGTCAAGCCATCTCCTGCAATGCTGGCATCCCATAGAGATGCCACTTCAAGTCCCAGCTGCTCCACTTCCAGCTCAGCTTCAGGTAATGTGCCCGGGAAACCAGCAGAAGATGGCCAGAGAGCTTAGGCCTCTGCCACCCAAGTGGGCACCCCGGAGGTAGCTCCTGACTCCTAACTTTGGCCTTGATCAGCCCTTTCAGTTGCAGCAATTTGGAGAGTGAGTCAACAGATGGAAGATGCTCTCTCTGTCTCTCCTTCTCTCTATAGAATTCTGCCTTTCAAATAAACCAACCTTTAAAAAATGCACTTATTCATTAAAACACAAAAATCACGTAAAAGATGCACTATACCCTACCCGTGTCGTTAAACATCTGTGCGCACAGAGAACAGGCACGTGACGGCAGAGCTGGCAGCGACAGAGGCTGGCTGGCCTCTCAGTTTCTCCCTGAGACACCTTTCCATTTCTCCCATAACAGGAGCCTGTTATTCTTGTCACCGGGAGAACCAAGCTGCTTTTATTTTCTAAAGGAAAGAAAAAGCAACAGGGTCACCTGGGACAAAGCACCAATGTCACCCTCAGGTAAGCGTCCGCGTTTGTCCCCTTGGCTGGAAAACCATCGATTTTCTTAGTGTGACAGGAGGTCTCCAAACATCTGCACCAGCCCAGACCCCTCCTCAGGTGTGAGAGCAAAGAAAGGAAGGGGGTTCCTAGGAGATGGGGTGGGCAACCCAGCGAGCCCTGAGGAAGGGTGTTCCTAGGACATGGGGTGGACTCCCCAGCGAGCCCTGAGGAAGGGGTTCCTAGGAGATGGGGTGGGCTCTCCTGCAAGCCCTCCCCACATCCCTAGCGGGCAGCACCATCATCCCATTGCCCAGATGAGGAAGTCAGGGCACCCAACCCAAGAAAAACAGAGGCAGCATCTGAAGGCACACGGCACAGGGGTACCAGCCCCCAGGCCTCCAGTCCCCCACAGCCTCTGAGAAGACAAGTAGCAGGAGGGTGGAGCATGGCCACATCCCTCACCATACACACAGTGGGGGGACACACCTGGCACCTTCTGAATGGACAGGCAAGGAAATCAAGGCGCAGAGAGGGTGGAGCCTCCCCCAGGAGCAGCCATCTGAGGGCAACTCTGAAGCCGGGCCTCAGTGCGAGGCCTGTGCTGGCCTGCAGCAGTCACCCTGGCCGCTGGGTCACTGGTGGGACTTCAGGGAGGGCACTGCTCTGGCCACACAGTGAGACCACAGCTGCTGGCGGCTGTGCCCCCCCCCCCCGCGGGGGTGCCTTCCACCCCTCAGGACCCTTCCTGGGTGTGCACCTGCTTGTGCTCACACTCCCAGCCTCACATTCCCCCACCTGGTGCCTCTTGTCCACCCTGCACCTCAGATGGGGACGAGGGACCCTGCTTCCAACCCAACAGCCAGCTGTGCATGGTCTCTGCAGCACCCCCCACCTCCCGATGTCACACACAACCACCAAGGACCTCGGCGACATGTGTGGAGTCACCAGTTCTTCAGCCCGACCTCACGCTCGAGCTGTCACACAGCAGAGGTCAGCTCTGCAAACGAAGAAACTGAGACCCAGACAGACCAAGCGTCCTGTCCAAGGTCACAGCCACCCCCGGCAGAGCTGAGACTAACACCCACCACTGCTGACTCTGTCACACTTCGTCCTCGTCTGGAAGACAAAGGGAGCCAATTGCACCAACCCAACCAACCATGAACGATGCCAACCCCATCAAAAAGCAAGGGCAGGAGCAAGCAGAAGCGGGGCGCTCCCCCACTACGGAAATGCCTTATTCTGTTCCTCTCTCTGGGACAGTGCGTTCGGATGGAGAGAGGCCTGGAGTGTGGGCAGGCAGATGAAGATAAAGTTTGAAGCTAGGGCACTCTGCTCCTGCCAGGCGGGGTCGCGTTGGGGACTGCTCACAGGATACGGCTGGCCTGGGCTACCTGGGCTGAGGAGTGGCCATCCCATCCAGATGCCTGGATGTGCACCTGTGACCGCGGGCAGGGGATTCAGGAGCCTGGGGTGTCAGCACACAGGCAAGCGGTTGCCTTGAATTCTCAGCCAAGAAAAAAGGGGGTGTCGCCTGCATTTCGGCCAGCAGTCAGCATTAGTAATGGGAATGCCTGCTTCACAGCTCTGCTTTCCATTCTGCCAGAGCCCTGGGGGCAGGGCAGGGCAGGGGCTGGCTGGCGAGTTTCTGCTGGTGCTGGCATCCACAGGCTCAGGAATTGGGGCTTGGAGTCCTCCCAGGGCCCCCACCAGTCTCCACTGGGGCCTCGACTTCCTTCCTGCTCAGCTCTCCCTGGGCCCCTGCCAGCAGGGGTGCCCACCGAAGCCATGGCAGGAAGGGTGTACCAGCTCACAGCAGTCCAACTCTGCTTCTGCACAACTGGGTGGAAGAGCCCAAGAACTCTGTCTCCCCTGCAGCTGTCCCGGGAGCAGACTGGGGCTGCAAGGCCATGGTCAGTTCAGAACCCCAGCCCTCGCTTGCCTTGACCTGGGCGCTGGGGGCAGTGCCTGCTGCTTTCACTTAGAAGGGGCCTGCACCCACCAGCACCAGAGTCCGAGGCGTCCTGTACACCAGGAAGGCAGAAAGACAGCATCGACGGGTCTCCAACTCGGCAAAGGGGATGATGAGGACATGGGGAAGTAGCAGGCCTCAGGGACCAGCAATTCCAGGGAACTCTGGAAGAGTCCCTGCCCATCAAGTCCTGGAGCGGCGCTCACCCAGAGTACTGGCAGCACTAGGAACCTGACAGGGCGGCAGCTGGAGCCGCTCTTATTCGGAGCAGCCAGCAGGCGGGTCCCCGGCCTCCCAGGGGACAAGGACCTGCCCCCCCGTCCCCGCCCCGGAGCAGCCGCCACCTCTCGGTCACCTTTGGGCAGTTTGGAAGCGTTCTCCTGGATCCAGGTAAAGAGGTGGGCGAAGTCGCAGTCGCACAGCCAGGGGTTCCCGTCCAGGCGCAGGGAGCGCAGCGCGGGCAGCGCGTCCAGGGCGGCCACGCTAAGGCTGCGCAGGTGGTTATCGTTAAGCTCGAGCACCTGCAGCGACTCCAGGGTGTCGAAGGCGGCCTCGTGCACGCCTACCAGGTGATTGTTGCCCAGGCTCAGCTTAACGAGTCGCCCAGCCGAGCGGAAGGTCCCCGCGTCCAGCTGGGTCAGGTTGTTGTAGCTGAGGTCCAGGAAGGCGAGCTTGGCCGAGCCGCTGAACGTGCCCTCCTCCAGCGAGCGCAGCGAGTTGTTTCTGAAGTCTAGGTAGACCAGGTCTCCGTAGAAGATAAAGAAGTCCTCGGGAATCCGCTGGATGCGGTTGCCGGCCACCAGCAGCTTGCGTACGTCCAGCGGGAAGGGATCGGGTACGCTGGGCAGCCCGCGGTCGCGGCAGTCCACCGTGTGCGGGTCGGTGCAGGCGCAGCCCGCGGGGCACGCGTGCCCGGGTCGGAGCAGCAGCAACAGCAGCAGCGGTAGCAGGAGGAGGAGGCTGAAGCGGCCGGGCGCCGCGCCGGCGACGGGGGTGCAGGGGGCGGCGCGGGAGCCCATGGCCGAGGGGCGCGAGCCCCGGCGCCCGGCAGGCAGCTCGGCGGGGCTCCGGCTGCCGGGCGCGCAGGGAGCCAGCCGGAGGGCGGCCGGGGCGGAGAGAGCTTGCGCCCGGGCGCGCGGGGGCGACCGAGCTCGCGGCTCGGCCGGACTGGGGCGGGGCGGCGAGCCGCGGGGATGGAGCGGCGAAGAAGCAGGGAGGGAGGGACGGGGGCCTGGAGAGAGGATTTGTCCGGCACTTAAAATGAACTCGCTGCCAAATCCCGGCGGAGACACTGGAATGGGTGGCAATGACCGCGGGGCGGACGTCCTGGCGACCCCACCCGCGCCGCTTGTTTCCGAGGCGGCGCGGACTTGGCACGGCCGCACCGGACGACTAAGTTCAGTTCTGGAGCCCCGGAGCGGTTTGCTGTGATCTTGTCCTGGCTCACACCCCGCACCCCTGCTGCGCTCCCCCTAAGGTGCGGAGCCGACTCCCCGCGTCGCCAAAGGAGCTAGCCTCTTTGGCTCTGCCCTGGATGAAACCCTCCGTCTTCCTAGGGGTTGTTACCGGGCTTGGGGGAGGGGACTGTGGCCAGTCTTTCTTCTCCCGCTCCTGCCATGGATTGGGCCAAATCAGTGAGCGAGGCAGGCAGGGGCTAACCACCCCCCTCCCGCCTCCAGCAGCGGAAGGACAGCCAGGGCCAGAGCCAGTCAGCACTTTCCATGCTATCGGGAGCTCCCGGGTGGACCTGCCGTTTACCCTAGCACGCCAATGGAGAGGTCACCACGGGTGGCCGCGGTTCCAAGCCCTGTGGCCAGGGACCTGCGCCTCCGTCTCTCTTGCACCAGGAAAGACCCGAGTGTGAAAAGGGAAAAGGTTACGATTGCGTCTGGAGGTCGGGGAAGGCAGAAGCCATCTGGGAGCGTGGTGTCCCTTTCTGGCCCATCAGCCGCTGTGGGGCTTGGAAGGTGTGGGCAGGGAGCATCCTGGCAAGTGAAGCCAGCCTCCTTTCCCTCTGCCCCAGCCCTGTTCTAGAAGCTTCTTTATGGAGAGGTCGTCCCGGAGCCACCAGCAGATGGTCTTGCTGTTGGCTATTTTGGTCCAATATCTTGGAATGGACAAAGTTTCCCTTGGACCAAAATAACCCTGGGAACAGCTGGGGGGAGGGGCCATGAAGACCCTGCCTGGGGCCCCAGCCCTGCAGGTGGGGGATGGTGCAGCCTGGATTCGGAAGCCACCAGCTAAGAGCCCCTCTGGGGGTGGGGGCTGTTTCCAAAGACACCTGCAGAGCCCAGGACTCCAACAGCTGAGATCCCCAAGTAGAGCCAAGGCCTGCAGAGAGGAGGCCACCAGGCAAGGCTTTGGGATGGGGACCAGGGAAAGCTGACCCCTGGCACTCTCCCAGAGTCCCTGGGAGCTCTGCCTCCCTCCCAACCCCCCAGCCACTGCCTGCTTTGCCAGGGGCAGGTGCTGGGGCTGGGCTGAATGATGGTCCAGAAGTGAGGGTCTTGCCTCCCCCTACAAATGTGACGCCTCCTTTAGAGCCTCACAGAGCACAGGCAAGTGGCAGCAGGCGAGCCACCCCCCAGCACCCCCCCGGACCCCGCCACCTCCCTTTGTGTGAAATGACTTCTCCTGTGTTCCAGCCTTTGGCTTGGTTCTGGCTGCTCCCTCCAGCCTGGCTTTAGCCCTCACTCAGGAGTTGTGTGTGTGTGTGTGTGTGTGTGTGTGTGTGTGTGTGTGTGTGTGTGCACATGGCCCTCCCTACAGCTGAGCAGGCAGGTGCACTGCACCCATGGAGGCCTAACCTCACCCCTGGCCACAGGATCCCCCACCCCCCTGCCCAGGGCTGCTGCTTAGGCTCTCCGGGGACTTCCCAGCCTGGGTCCCTGGAGGATGAGCTGTTCTCAGAGCCTGGTGAAGGCATAGAGGCAGGATCCTGCAGCGGATGCCACAGGTGTCGGCTGTGAACCCGGCGTTGGCACCAGTGTTTTTCTGGTGAGCATGAGTCTGTGCTTGGGTGATGGGAGAGGTGAATTTCTCCTTGGTCAAAGCAGAGAACTTAAAATGGAGACACGTGGCAGGAAAACCAGAAGAGGACACTCCTGGCACGGCAGGGGTAGAGAAATGCTGTCCCTGGCCTTGATGTTTTCATCCTGAAATTGGTAGAGACCTCACCCCCAACACCCTCTCTGTCCCCTCCCACAGACAGTGTGGGGGCCACAGGAGAAGTGACCTGTGGGAGAATGTGATTGGACAGATGCTTGGAGAAAGACCTCTTGGGGAAGTGGCTGTGAGCTCAGCTCTCTCAGGCATCACCTGTGTGGGTCTTGATCCCGGTGTCCCCCGAGCCCTGATGAAGCTTCACCTAAGCCAGATTCGTCCCTGTGGCCTTAGCCGTGGTGGGAGTGCCTGGGGAGCCTGTATCCCAGTCACTTGGGAAAATGCAAGCTTTGCCACCAGCGGTGACCTCGGAAGAGTGGCAAGGGCATGCTATGAGTCAGTGGCAGGCACCGGAAATAGAACGCAGGGTTTGGAGCTCCCACCTGCACCTGCGCCCTCCCCGGGGAGGGATCCCTTCCAGACTGGAGGAGCCATACTGCAGGGGAAACCTGAGGGCAAGAACCCCAGATGGCCAGCTTCAGAGGCCACCTGTCCTGTGAGGCCTGCTGGATGGTGGGATTTGACAAACCTGGGGGTTGAGGTTGTCCCAGTTCCCCCATCTTCAATACTCCTCAGTCTGTAGAGTACTTCCTGGCTTGGTTGCCCATGCTGCGACCTTGAGGAACCCCTAGAAGTCCCCCTTGTGGAGCCCGATCCCTGTAAGAGCAGTGCTGGACAGAGCTCTTCCTGCTGGGTTACCAGACTAGACAGTGAAATGAACCAAGCGGGCCAGTGCTGTGGAGCTGCAGCTTCTGACGCAAGCATCCTTTATCACCGTTCAAGTCCTGGTTACTCCGCTTCCAGTCTAGCTTCCTGCTGATGCACCTAGAAAGGCAGTGGAAGATGGCCCATGTTACCCACACGGGGGACCTGGGCAGGGTTCCTGCCGTTGGCCTGGCCCAGCCCGTGGGTGTTGTGGCCACTTGGGGAGTGAATCAGCAGACAGAAGGTCTCTGTCTCTCCCGTTGTCTCTAGCTCTCCCTCTGCCTTTCAAACAAGTACATGAGTATTATCTTTAATAAAAGAAACCACAGACTCCTAGGCCCCGAGGGATGCCACAATGTTGTGTGCCGGAGTGGGAATCTCCACGCAGCTTTGGCTATATGGCAGTGACATTGAGTTACCAGGTGTCTCACTCGGTCAGTTCCTCACCGCCTGGGCAGCAGGCAGGAGGCCGTCTCTGCAGCTCAAGACAGGAAGCACACTCTAGCCCTGTGTCCGGAACAGCTTAACTCTATGGAACTATGCTGCATGCTGCTGGGTCTCTGTCCCCCACTATCAGCAGGTGGAACACGACCGGGGGTGCCACCTGTTCGGCTCACACATTGTTTTAACTCTGTTTTAACTCTTCTGGCCCGCCTTGGCCCACTTCACTCAGAAACAGATGAAAACGAAACAATTGATCCTCTCACTTCCTCCCTGGAAAGTGAAACTTCCACCAGCCCAAACGGAGCATTATGGCTCTGGCCCGAGATTGCTCAGACATACTGCGTCCGCTCCATCAACGCCATGCAGAACCCTATAAACAAGGACCTTCACACTCCCTCCAGCCCTCCCCCCGGCTTGCCAAGTTTGTTTCAGTAAGTTTGGCCTCCTCCGGGGGCCCTCCAGGATTAGCCTGGACGAGTCCCAATCCCATTTATTCTCCTTCTTGGGCAAAGGATCATCACTGCTAGGTTAGGGTGTTTAGTGCTCAGGACAGCTAGGCTGGGAGAAAACTCAAAAATTCTCTTTTTGAAAAATTATTATTTGAAAGATTTGCACAGAGGGACAACACGCATGCACAATTTTCCACCTGCTGCTTCACTTCCCAAATGCCAGCTGCAGGATCGAGGCTAGCCAGCCAGGAGCCAGGAGCCTCATTCAGCTCTCCCAAATGAGTGCAGGGGCCCAAGCACTTGCATCTGCTGCTTTCTCAGGCTCCTTAGCAGGGAGCTGGATTGGAAGTGGAGCAGCCAGGATTTGAACCAGCAATAGAGGATGACAGAACTGCAGGCATTGCTTTAACATGGCACACCACAACGCCAGCCCTAAACTTACACATTTTTAAAAAGAATTCGTTTTATTGGAAAGAAGGATTTAAAGAAAGAAGGAGAGACAGGAAGAAAGATCTTCTGTCCACTAGTTCACTCTCCAAATGACCACAGTGGCTGGTGCTGTGCCGATCCAAAGCCAGGAGCCAGGAGCATCTTCTGGGTCTCTCACATGGGCCAGAGTCCCAAGGCTTTGGGCTGTCCTCCACTGCTTTCCCAGGCCAGGACACAAACAGGTGCCTGTATGGGATCCTGACGCATGCAAGGTGAGGATTTAGTCACTGAGCCATCGCACCGGCCGCAGCCTCATATTCTGAAGTGTCCCAAAACACAAGCAGTAGGTCTGGGAAAAGCAAGACTGAGAGCTAACAGCCTTGGCCTTGGCGCCAGCCAGCCTGCGCCCAAGCCCTGGTCCTGCCACCTCCTGGTTGTTTCTCTTCTGTGTGTTGAACACTCTCCCTGTATCCCAGTTGCCTCGCCTGTCAGGCAGGGAACACACCCACTCGGGGTCTACTGGGAGGGTAGAAGGAGATCGTCTCAAATGGGGTATGACATTGGAGAGGCGCCATATCGAGGGTGGGGATGTTTTTGTCATGTGGACGTCCTCTGCCCAGAAGGGAGTGGGCGTGGGACTGGCAGTGTATCCCACCCTGGTGCCTGGAGTTCATTCCTGCTCCAGCTTCATGCTAACGCACCCCCAGGGTGTGGCTCAAGTCACTGGGTTCCTGTCACCCTCATGGGAGACCTGCGGTGAGCCCCAGACTCAGCTTCGGTCCTGGCTCAGCTGCAGCTCTTTTGGACATCTGGGAGTGAGTTAGTGGGTGAGAGCATGTGTGCCCACTCTTGCCCTCACAGTTCGATTCCCCTGCACCCTCCCAGAACCACCCCCTCAAATTTTAAAACTATTCCTAAGGCAGGCACTGGACTCGATCTCTGGGTACCTAGGACAGAGCTGACAGTCTGGGTTCCTCGGGTGCCTCACAGCCTCCTCGGGTGACAGGGTTCCGGTGGCTGGCAGCTGGCAGCTCGAGGACTGGGCGTGGACAGTAGCCACCACATACACACCTGCTTCGTGTCAAAGGTAAGTGGAGGCAGGAGGGCCACCTAAGCTGGAGGGTCTGGGGAAGGGGACGTGTCGACCCCATCAACTCTTTCCTGAGTGGGACTTGGAGAAGGAGGCCAGACAATGCCACACTTGTGGGGGAACACACAGCGTTGCGGCTGGGGACTCCTGCCAGGCACTGCTCACCCTGTGTCATCCGCACAGCCTCTGCCTGTCTCCTCTGCATTTCTTGCTGTCCAGGCTTTGGTGCCTGCTCCTCCTGGCTGGCATGGTGCTAATGGCTTACATGACCGTGTTCTCCGGGCAGATGAGAAAGGGTCCTTGAAGTGGAGCCCAGCCTGGAGCAGGTGCTTCCTGTAACCTTGACAGTGTGTGCATGTACGAACAAGTGATGCTGAGGGCCGAGTTGTTTGGGAAAGGCCACTGGTGCTGCTGCTGCTGGCCTCTGTGGGCAGCCGCGCAAGGACCATGGATCAGGAGCCTCGTGGCTTCCCCTGGTCACTCATGGTCCTGAGAGTGGTGAGCCCGGCCACACTCGCTGACCCCTTACAAGACTCCCTGTGCCATCGCTGTCACCAAGCCCAGCCTTGGTGCTCTGGGTCACCTCGTCCCAAACACTTGAAAGTTCACCCTTCGTTTACTGCTCGTGTGGCCTGGGGAGGGCCTTGAGTCGCCATTGATTAGAATGCTTGAGGAAGGGTCTCAGAGCCTGAGCTTTCTGTTTGT